CTGGGGAATTCTGGGAGTTGAAGTCCACACATCTTAAAGTTGGTAAGGTTGAGAAACACTGACCTAGATGGTTACAGACAGTTAGCATTTTTCTGTCTTTGCAAAATCCTGGTGGTTATCTGGATTTTTGCAGCCCAGACATGGCATGCCTTAATTCAATAAAGTATGGATTAAGCTTGTTGTGTAAACCCAGATGCATTGTTGTTGTTGTTCAGTCGTTAAGTCGTGTCCGACTCTTTGTGACCCCATGAACCATATTGCGCCAGGCCTTCCTGTCCTAACCCAGATGCACACTTATCCCCAAACTCTGGTTCCTCTTACAGTCCATCAAATGGAGTCTCTGACAGAGAAACGGACGCCTAGAAACCTCACACTAAAAACAAAGAAACCTCACTTGTCATTGTTAAAGAGAAATTGGAAAAGATACCTGCTCTTTTCTTCCTCAGATGGCCCTTTGCTCCCTCCTGGCCCGAACACTGTTCCTCTCTTGCTGCTTTCAAGTTGTCATGTTTTCTTTTTACGCTCCAAGGCCTTCCAACATAGTTGGCTGTACTTTTTGTCCTTCAAACAAAGACAAACGGATCTCCACTTGAATGCCGCGGCTTGCCAAACTCAGGGCCAAGTCGAATTCTTTGGTCCGCGTGAATTGAGCAGAATTGCACAACTCCTCACTGCATTGCATAACGAAGCAAAACCTCAGGAAAATGCTTCATTTCACTCCTTGGGGTGGAACCTAAACCTTGCCTTCTAGCTCTCAAGTGTCTGTCCGCGTAAGCTCGGAATGATCTTCACGACAATAAAATCTAGAAAACTGATGAAGGATTCAGTTCAAACAAGCCCGTCTTGGAGCTACTTTCACGTGAAGCTGAACTACCAAGGCTGCAATCTTTACCGGAAAATGGGTAGGAGATGAGAAGGAGTTGCAGGTATCTAGTTTTTGCTTAAAAAAAAAAAAATCCTCCTATTTTCATTGGTGGAAGACCCAAATGCCTAAGACTGTGCTCAGGAAAGGCTAGGACTGGGGAGTTACAAATTATGAATTAGCCAGAAGTTTAATATATGGTAGACTTATTATATTAAACTTCTAGCTAATATAATATATATAAAATATTCTTTTTTAGTTTGCTTTTATTTTTTTCTCTTTTTTCCCTTTGGTTTCTATTATCTTTCTTTAAATTGAAAGACTGCTTTGTTTAATTGTGTTTTTAGTGTGTTTAGCTGTTTTATCAATATTTTGTATTTAGAAAAATAAAAATAAATTAACCAGAAGGATTGATACATTGATTTTCATTTGCATAGAAAATCTCAAACCAGCCCACAATTAAAACAAAAACATAAGAAGATACAATAACTTCAATAAGTAGAAAGTTCACATGGCAACGTATTGATATCCCCACAAACGCTAAGGATGGTTGACAATACTAACGATTCAGAAGGGGGTGAAAAACACTGGAGAGAACTAAGAATTCTCTGCGATCCTCCTGTGTTTCCTTCTATAAACTATAGCCAGTTTTATTTTAAATCAGGGTTTACAAAGATAAATTTATTTTATCCTTGTAAATCAGCAGGATGCTAGATTTTGGCACTTTGCCAACGTTTATTTATTTACGGAAACAAAAAAGCAGCAGCAACTTCAAGAAAAGAGAGGGCGAGAGAGAGAGAAGTCTTGGAATTAGGGATCCGGTGCTACCTGTGGTGGTCCCTGTGCTTGCTGGCACTAGGTAACCTACCTGTGTGCTAATCACACCACCGTTTTTGCCCCAACCTCTGTGCTGATTAGTCCAGCTCTGTGCATTTCACACAAACCGAAGAATTGTACGGCGCTCCTATGGGTGCTAACCGACCTGCTTCCCCACCTGTCCCCCACACCTTTCATGGAAGCCTCACCTCCACTTCCTGTTAAATGAGACCCCAGGGGGCGGGCCAGGATTCTACTTGCGTGGATCTGCCCGCTGAAATCCCTCCCCGGGGCTCAGCCTGGCGTCACTCAGTGCCTCTGGATGCATTAAACAGTGCGGTGAACTTGGCTGCGAGCCCCCGAGGCCCCTGCCAGTTTCGCAAGCGTGCATCCACTGAGGTCCAACCACTTTCACGCCACCGCTGCTAAAAAGCTGATCGGAGGGGCTTTTGCTAAGCCAAGGGGGGGACATTGCCAAGCCCCCCATTCCCCAGTTAACCTGCCTTGCAATTCTTTCAATTTATTTAGTTTGTCTTGGGGCTCTTTTCTGATGGAGATACGAGTCCAGGTTTGGCCTTCAGCGCTACCGCAGATGGACTGAGATGGCCAAGCCCACTTTAGGTACTAGATGGGGTGGCCAAAAATCAGGAGTCTGGTAGCATCTTTTCAGATGAATAAATTTTAGTGAAAGACTGAAAAGGTGCTACCAGACTCCTCCTGATTTTTGGCTACCATTGATTAGTATGGCTCTCCTGCAATGTCTAGATGGGGTTGATGTAATTTTCTACCGCTTTCTTTCATTTGGATGGAAGTGAAAAAGCAAGCATGTCTCCCAACTTCCTCACTTCTCTCCCCACGCAGGGCCCAAGTTTTTCTCTCCTTCTCTGCCACCTTTAACATGCTCAGAACTTTTGTCTAAAGCGACAGCGTCACCTTGATCCCAGGAAGGGCCAGGGTTCAATAAGAGGAGATGAATGTTTGGCACAGAGAAAGCGGCTGGGTTCGCACAACACGGTCAGCCAGGTCAGTTAAAAACCTAGCAGCTGCATTTTCACATCATGAAAAGCTTGGTTAGTTTTAAATTTGATTTGTTTGTTTTTTTGCAGCCTGGCATTTATTTGAACCCATTTGCTTGCTTTGGGGTTCAGTGTTTTGTGTTCAGAAAAATGGGTTAATTCAGTAGCCAGGTTAAATATGTTGTGTAAACATTGCAACTAACGTGGTTCGCTTGACCTTGGTTGGATGTGCTTGGACTCAAGTACTGTGGCCTGTAAATCACGGCTTAGCCTGTCATGAAAACCTAGTTAATTGTGGCTTATGCAACAATGGTTAAGCAAATCATATTTTAGGATCTCATGTGAAAATAGCTATGCCTGGTTCAGTTCTAGGCATCACCATTCTAAAGGATCTCTAGAAAAGGAGCAGGAAACGACACTGCCTACCAGTCAAAACTGATTACAAACCAAGATTACAAGTCAGTAATGTAGGAAGCAATTGTATATAATGTCGCAATTGTATATAGTCTAGCCGGCTCACATAATTCAAAGCTGGTTCTGTTTACAGCTGCAACCCTAAATTTCTGGCAGGTATTTGTATCCTATCTTTCCACAAGACACTATTTGATAATAACACTAATATGGAAAAACATTAAAATAAGAAAATCAAATTAAAATCATTAGCAGTCATTGCAAGTGCCAAATCAGAGATCAGTTTCAACTACTTTTTGAAAGGTCGAACCTGGAAGTCAAGAAGACCATCTTACATTCTACCTTTTGGGACCAACACACTCATCAAGGCCTTTCATGGCATCAGCTCTTACTCTAATCCTGATCTGCATGGTTTGCAACCAAGGAACACCACATTTTCTGCAAGAATCCAGTTCTTTCCAGATTGTCCCTACTGACTCCATTTTGCCAGGGCTCTTGCTATCATGGCTGTAGGAACAGGATGACGATTAGTAACAGATCTTAGGGAAAAGCAGGGATCTGGGTTCACGGATGCTAATGGAACCATGGGAGAAGGCAATGACATGAAGGAGGTTGAGTTAAACCATTCATCCATCTGGCTTTTTTAGCCCTGCCTGAAGATGCAGGGATTGAATTGGGACTGGCTGTGTGTTGACACCAAGGGCTTCCCTTTCTAAGTCACGAACTGTCCTGACCATGGAACTGAAAAGCAATAGAGGCGGGGTGGCCCTTTTGCTCTGACCCCTCCTTGGAAGTTGTTTTCAAGCTTGCTTTGATCTAATGAGAAAGATCCTCCTGTGGGGAAAGTTTTCTGCTTCCTAACATTGGCTAATGACAGGGTATGGCATGTTTGGGGTCCCAGGAGCAGAGCTTGGAGGTGTGTAGACTGTTACCAGGGTAACTGGAGCAGAGATATTGCAAGGGAGGCACACGAGATATTCCTGTGTTTTCCAGGAAGGCAGGAGAAGAGATGAAAGGAGGAGGCACTTGGGAAAGGCTCAAGCAGGGCTCCCAGATTTGGGCTGCAAAAATCAGATGACCAGTAGATGGCAATAAAAGGTCATAAGAAACCAACTCCAGTGGTTGTCTCCATTTTTCCAGCCCAGATGTGGTAGGCTTAGTTTTAGAGGAAGAAAGGAATTTTCAAAGAGGGACTTGAGAGGACAAGAGGGGAGATGGAGGACCAGATATCAAGCAGGACATAAGAAGTTAAAAATGATCCAGATCCTGGTGTCTTGGGTTGGGTTGAACTGCAGGATCTCTAGGAGGCCCCATCCTCTGGATAACCACCCTGGTAACTGCGGCTAGCTGAGAAATGCTGAAAAGCAGCTGAGGACGATGAACTGTGGCTGCATTCCCATCCCCCAGAATGCCTTGGAATAATGCTGCTTCAAGATATTTGGGAAATTAATACAATGCTGGACTTAGCAATCAAGCCTGAGAACAGACACTGAGCAGTGACCTCTCCTAGGTACCCAGCAGCTGTTCAAAGATGCCAGTAGGAACTAATGTCTTCAGGCACCAGGTTGGGATGCCTGGACTAAACTTATGAAACGTTCATCTTCATGCCTCATGGTCCTTGGTCTCCCTCCCTTTCCAGCCCTGTTAGTTCCAAGGCCGTTCCAAATGCAGCTTTAAGGCTGAAGAATCTGGGGAGGTGGTGATGGAGAACAGCTAATTGCAAATTAACATTCATACTGTACACCTTTTACACCTCAATTTACCAGCTCCTAGACTATTCAAAAGGAGACTATTAAAAATAATATATACACAACCAAGTTTCATTCAGAATTTGGTTCCCATTCAGTTCTCCAAAGCAATCTTTTTGCTTTCTTTTCATTAGTAGCCAAGACATAGATTTGCCTTTTGATTCAAATTGCTGATACTATTTTGAAGCACCAGAAATCTGTAAGCAACATAGCCATCAGTGACATTATTAAAAAAAAGAAAAGAAAAATATAGGTTGGTCTCCAGCCAAGCTGAGGATTTCCAACCCCCGTTGATATAAATAACTGAGATTTACTCTTCCTCAAGAAAACTTCTTGTGAATTCTCTCAGGGACCAACAAAGCTTCCCTTATTTTTAATATTCCCACTGACTGTGCTCTGATTAATTTGCATAAAGGGGGTATCGTTAGCATTGGTCATTTAGAGTTTGCCTTTTGGGGTCACCCTACTGTCTTCAATAGCAGCTTGGTCTGTGCTTGTTGGCATGATAAGAATTCATCTCTGTTTCTGTGGCTAAAAAAGTTTAATCAGTTTAGGTCAGCATCAAGACAGAAGTACAGCTAGATCGCTGGCTGTCTTTGAAGTATCAAAATGCCTTGGGTAGCCTTGAGAGTATCTTGGACCAGAAGAAAAATAAATCCTTCAGGGTTAGAAAAACAAAACAAAACCAGTCTGCTCACTAGAAGCAAGTTCAGATATTTCAGTTACATAACGTGAAGGCAAGTGTCACTGGAGAAGCTGATGCTTGAAAAAAATGGAAGGCAATTCAAACGGAGGCCAGCAGAAAACAAGGTGGCTAGAAAGAAATGTTACCACTAATGATGCAGGTAGGAGCTTCCAAGAATTCCAAGAAGCAGCTAATGGAAGGCAATTCTAGCAACAGCATGTCCACTAGGTCATTTCAAGTTGGAAGCAACTGAACAACACCACTAAAGTCATGAGATATTGTCCGGATTCTCTGCACTGGAAGTATCTCCTAGGTTTCCTTCTTCCAGCTGTTTTCAAGAATTAAACTCAGCATCTTAATTGGCTTAATCAATCAAGGATAGGAAACTACTCTGATTACTAGGAAAACTAGAATATAGTCTTTAAAATTCTTCAACAGCACCTAAAAAACTCAGGAAGGAAGGAGACTTCTCTGTACAA